CGGGGGGATTCTTTACCTGCGCGGTGAAAACAATGTATTCCCGAGCATCTCGCGCAACATAGGTCTAATTTCGGACTTCCGTGTACCTTTGGGAAGTTTATTTCCTCTCAACACATCGACCGGCAGGTGATCGGTTTATCGCCGCGACGCTTTGACAACACCGGCCTCGGCCCGACGCCGGGCCCTAGCTTGTGTTGCAGTGTGCACCCCGAGGGCAGGGGGCTGCCCAAACACCTCCGTGGCGACCGCAGCGCCTACTGCTCCTGCTGCGCCCTTGCCCTCAGCCCGGCCTCCTGCATCTACGGCCGCTCCGTCTCCTGATGACGACCACAGCGACCAAGGCGACATCGACGACGGCGAGGTGTACGCCGCAATGTGCATCAGCCCCGATGCTGTGCCGCTTCGCCGACCGCGCCTCCGCCTACGGCGCGTGACGGACGAGGAGTCCGAGGAGGCTGGCAACGTCGTGGAGAGGCTGGCAGCGTCGCTGGCGGCGAAGATTGCAGATGCGCCCGACTGGGAGACGGCGGAGGGCTACATCACGGCCCTACCGTACGCCCTCTACGACAAGCTGCAGCCGTACTCCCAGTCCCAGCACCAACCTCCACGTCAACAGCAGCAGCAGCAGCGGCAACGACCACGGCAGCAGCAGCAAACACGGCAGCGTCGACAGCGGAGATGCAAGCGCGGCGGTGGCAGCCAACACAGGCAGCGGAAGACGCGCCGCCGACGGCCCCCACGGGTGACACGCCACCACCGCGAGCACCGGATCGATGAAGCCCTCGACGACCTCCACGCGCTCGAGAGCAGGCGCCCTCAGGACAGGACGGCCATCAGCAAGGCCAGGCGTCGAGTCGGTCGCATCCGCTCCGCCCTTGACCAGCACCAATTGCGCCACCGCTTCGACACCAGCGAGAAGGCCTGCGTGGACGGCATCCTGGCCGCCGCGCGCGACAAGGACAGGGCGGCATCAGTGACGACAACAGCGCAAACAGCGGCTCCGCCTCATCCTGCGCCAGCTTAAGCTCCTTCGTCGGCGGTGAACGACGGAATCTGCCCGATCCCGGGAGACTTGCTCCATGCCTTCTTCACAGACGTGAACACGCCGCGCACAGAGTTCGACGCCGACTCGCCCATCGGAGCCCGCTTTCGGGAGGCTCTTGCTCAGCTGCCCGCTGCCATCGCTGCCACGGAGCTACTCATGGAGCCGCCGTCGCCGGACGAGGTTGAGGACCAGTTGCAACGTGTACGGGGCACGTCCAGCCCCGGCTTGGACGGGGTGGGGTACGACGTTTACAAGACCTTCACACAGCAACTTCTACCGGCCCTGCACGCCGCTTTCTCCAGATGTTGGACTGATCAGCGCGTCCCACAGAGCTGGAAGCTCGGAGTCGTGCGGCTCCTGTATAAGAAAGGAGATCGGCAGGACCCCGCCAACTGGAGGCCGATCTGCCTCCAGCAAGCCGTCTACAAGCTGTACGCCGGTATCCTGGCCCACCGGTTCACAGGCTGGCTGGCTCGACGCTAACACCCGGCACGCTGACGTACAGAAGAGATTCCGCGCGGTTAACGGCTGCGGGGAACACAATTTCCTCGCAGCCACGCTGACGGACAACGCCCGCCGCCGACGCCGCGAGCTGCACGTGGTCTGGTACGACATCAAGAACGCGTTCGGCAGTGTGCCCCACGAACTGCTGTGGGAGGTGCTGAGGCGCATGGGAGTGCCTGCGCAGTTCATTGCGTGCTGCCAAGGGATCTACGACGCGGCAGCTTTCACGGTCGGGAACGCAGCAGACGGCACGACGGCCCCAATTCAGCTGCGCTTGGGCGTGTTTCAGGGATGTCCCTTGAGCCCCCACCTCTTCACGGCGGTGATCCGCCCACTCCTCCACGCACTCAAGCGGCTCCCTGGCACGGGGGTACAGCTCTCAGCCGTCGACCGGCCAGATGCGTCAGCATATGCCGACGACCTCAAGGTCTTCAGTGACACCAAGGATGGCATCACGCGGCAGCATCAGCTCGTCACCGACTTCCTGCGCTGGACAGGCATGGTGGCAAACCCGTCCAAGTGCAGCACCATGTCTGTCCAGAGGGACAACCGCGGCGTTTTGAAGACCGCCAACCTCACGCTCCAGCTGGACGGCGCCCAGATCCCAGCACTCGGGATGACCGATGCGTACGCGTACCTGGGCATAGGTGACGGATTCGACCACGTACGCCGCCGCGTCGAGTTGGCCCCCAAACTCCGCGAGCTGAAGGCAGACACGACGGCGCTGATGCAGTCGGAACTGGCGCCGTGGCAAGTTGTGAAGGCCCTCAAGGTCTACATCTACCCACGCGTGGAATATGCCCTCCGCCACCTCCGACCGTTTCAGCAGCAGCTCCAAGGCTTTGACCGACACCTCGCGCGCGGGCTGCGTCACCTTCTCCGCCTGCCAACATCAGCCACCACCGAGTTCCTGTATGCGCCAACGTCGCGAGGAGGCTTGGGGCTGCTACCGCTTACAGAGGTTCACGGTGCCCTTCAGATTGCGCACGCCTGGCAGACCCTGCACTCGCCGGACCCCGCCATCCGCCGCATTGCCCGCGTGCAGCTCCGCCAAGTCGCCGACGCCCAGCACCGCTTGGACGCCGAGCACTGGAAGGAGCGGGAGGAGGAGCTGTGCGAGCGGCTGCTAAACTCGCAGCTCGGGACATCGGCCCACGCGCCTCCCAAACGACGCAATTGCGACATCGGCTCGCTGTGGGTCGATGTCCAGCGCCACCTTCGCTCTCTCGGCCGCGAGCACGCACACTGGCGCACCAGCTCAGCCTCTCCAGCTTCGCGTGCCGCACCACGACAAGTGGCTGACGCACACGGACGTGCTTGGGCACGTGAAGCTGCACATCAAGCATAACCACTGGCACCGCTGGACGTCCATGCGGGACCAAGGGAAGACGGCCCGTGCCCACGGCGGTGAAGGCAGCGGCTTCCTCACGCAGCCGCGAGGCATGTGGGAAGCCGACTACCGGTTCGCGGTGGCGGGTCGTCTTAACCAAGTGGACACGTACAGCGTATTGAAGCGCCGGCGCCTGCGCTCGCACGACAGGTGCCGCCAGCCAGGATGCCATCGTGCCGAAACACCGGCTCACGTGCTAAACCACTGTCCCAGCACGATAGACGCGGTCCGAGGACGGCACGACGGAGCGCTCAAGCGCATCGAGCGTGAGCTCCACGCGTCGGCCACGGACCGCCGGGACCGCATCGAGCTCGAGTGAACCATACGTGCCGTCACTCGTCGGCCCCGCGTTACGGCCCGATCTCCAGCTCTACAACCACACCAAGAAGACGGTGGCGGTGGTCGACCTGGCCGTGGCGTTTGAGGAGCAGGCGAGTGACGACGCGAGCAGCTCGGCGCTGTCCCTTATCGCCAGCCACAAGCGAGCCAAGTACGACCGCATCAAGCGACACCTCGAGCGCCAAGGATGGAAGGTACACCTCTCGGCGCTCGTGTACGGGTCGCTTGGGGCGGTCGCTAGTGGCAACTACCAGGTATACACCACACACCTGGGGCTACTCAAGCGCGATGCAAAGCGGCTGGACCGGCAGCTGTCTGCCGAATGCATCCAGTCCAGCCGCCGCATCTGGAATCTACACTGCGGCCAGCACCGGACTCGCCAACACCAGGCGAGGCCCAGCCAAGGACCAAGAGGCAGCCGGGCGACGGAGACCGGGGGGACTCCGTCCCAGACAAGCCGCCGCTAGGCGGAAACCAGGACCAAGACGGCCGACAAAGCCCCACCCAGGTAAGGAACCGCCCTAGAAACCCATTTCGGTGGTCGACTCGCAAGCCTCACCTATATTTTAGACATTCAATTAGGTAGCGACCAAATCACAAATTTGGTAACGCGTAAGCCAAATGGTAATACACAAAACTTTTCTGTTCTAATCAGTGTGAAAACTGGTTTTCGCCTTTTGGCGGACTTTTTCACTCGCATTTTTGGGCACTCGGCTGCGGCTAGCTCGCTAGCGGCGGACGAGCGGTCTCCGGGGGCGTACACCTTTCCCCCGCGAGGCCAACTACTACACCGATCTTCTCTACACTTTTCTAATCCGCCTCCGACCTCGCAAGTCTTCGGTTGTCGGACTTTTTCTTTTTGGCCAATCCGAGCGCGCTATGCGACTCTTCTGGCCAATCAGAGACCGGGCCCTGTCCTCGGACAGCGAGGCCTCCACGGCCAGCCAATCAAGTCTCGGCAGCGACGCGTCTTTCTATAAGGCGGCGGGCGAGGCCGATCTGGCGGCCCCCGATTGGTCCGACTTTCGGCCAATCTGCGACGACGAGGGGGCAGGGGTTTACACTTTTGCCCCCGTTTTGGCTTCAACTTCAGGCCAAAATGGCGATTTGGACCCTCCACGCGCCGTGCCACTGCTCGGCACCGGCGGCGATTCAGCGGGTGCAACTTTGGGCACGTGTGCAACACATGCAGCGCCCATTGCACGCCAAGCGGCATCGCGCGGCGACGCCTCGGCCGCCCAAGCGCAGCCCCGCCTTCCAGCACGACCTCGCGCCGTTTGGCGGATCGCCATCAAGACGTGCGAGAGCCAGGCGGGGTCGGGCAAAATATACTAACTCTTAGTATGCCCGAATCCCTGCCGTTTCAGGCTGTACGCGGCCCCATACTTGATCTAAGTATGGGAGGTTCCCTGGCCTCTCAGGCTGTACGCGAGACCCGTACGGCCGAATCCCTGGCCTCTCAGGCTGTACGCGGCCCCATACTGGGACCAAGTACAGCCGAATCCCATACCTTCTCGGCCTCTTGGCTAAGATCAAGTGTAGTATCTGTTCTAATCATTGTGAAAACTGGTTTTCGCCTTTTGGCGGACTTGTTCACTCGCATTTTTGGGCAAACGTCTGCGGCTAGCTTGCTAGCGGCGGATGTGACGGGGTCACACAGCACCTTGCGCTAGAGGAAGTTATCTTCCGAGAGTTTACAAACTCTCAGTGAACGGCAGTTCACAGGTCCCCTCTTTAATTAAAGAGAGCGAAGTGATCTAAATAAGGTAGATTGTAAACTGAGTATATTAATAGGTAGGTTAAGTTTGGGTTTAATACAAACTATTAGTTACCTATAGAAATGCAATGTCATTTAACCAATGGTTGGCCTTGAACGACCTTGGTACCTTGTACCAAATATCCCGGAGTATGACGTGTCATACTCCTGAAGTGTCACACTTCATGTAACCAGGGTACACTTAGGGCTACGTACCCCGTTACATCCTCCCTCGGTTTACCGACCAATCAGAATGAAGAGGTGTTCGTCACAAACTCTCATTCTCAAAGTCGAAAACCATCGTCTTGGCTGCGCGAGCGCGGCGGAGGCTCACTTCACAGTTAGAGCCTCGAGCAGCAACCTGTGCGCTCTTCGTCTAGGTCTCCACTTCGACCGTTATCATGCCTCGTGGCACTGCAAAGAGCGGTGCTAAGACACGCTCCAAGGCTGCTGCCGGTAAGGCACAAGCCAAGAGCACTAAGCCTCACGGCAAAGGCTCTGCACTCAAGGAGGCTACTCAGGTGGCCTCCGAGGCGATCGGTTTCTCGGGTGACGCGGCTGTGGACAAGCGCGCAAGCAAGCGCCGCAGCCCGTCGCCCTCATCTTCAGACAATCGTCCGAACCCTCGGTTCATAGAACGTGAGTTCAACTCTGGCAGTGAGGAAGATGCCGAGTCCGAGAGCACGCACGATGCTCCTGCGGGCTCTGTGGGAGGGCACAGCCCAGTGCCCAGTGAGCACAAAGATGACAGCGTGCAATCGCTCGCTAGTGATCAAGGTGATCACAGTCCCACGACCTCTGTGCGCTCTGAGAGTCCGGCCGTCAAGGCTAAGGGCGCTCCCAAAGCCGGTGGCGATGAGGAAGAGAATCCTCGCAAACGTCTCTCGCTTGCCGAGGGTCTTGTGCGTGCTAAGGCCTCTAAAGCCGAAGGCACCAAGCCCTCAAAGAAGCGTACAGCCTCTAAGTCTCCACTCGGCGAGGAGAAGGAGACTCGTCGCTCCTATCGGAGTATCTTCGACTCCTCGGATGAAGAGGAGGAGAAGGAGGAAGAAGAGGAAGAGGAGGGTGCTATCGTTGAGCCCCGGGAGGTCTCGAATGACCTCGACCAGCAGCAGGAGAAGTTCCAAGCTGCCCAGCGTGTGCGTGGGGGTTCGGTGGTGGCACCCGTCAGCCAGGGAGCTGACATCAACTCAAGAGGGTATTGGCCTCCCGAGGAGAGCTCTGGGGCTGACCTCTTCTTAGAGGCCCTCGCTGCTCCTCGTGGCCTTGTGGGCGGCCACACTTCTAGGGGCATCTATGAACGTGCCCTTGTTCAGAAAGAACAGTTGTCCGTCGACAACTTGGAGGCTGCTCGGTGTGTGCTTCTCGCGCCACACCGCATTCCCCTTAAGGACTTTACGACTTGTCGTAAGAAGCCCGAGACCCGGGGTGGTCTCTATCCTGTTTGGGATACCCCTGGGTTATGCCCGAGAGCTGTCCCACGTGGAGTTCTTGTGAGGACATGTTCTGGGCGTGGGTGGAGACTCTCAAGTACTCACCCACGAAGTTACGGGAACTCTATGAAGATCAGCAGCTGTCCCACATCCTGGACCAGGCTGATCTTCGTGTGAGGTTTGCCCACTTGATCAGCAAGCGTATGCTGCAAAGGGACATCCTGAAGCGCGCGGCTTCTAGCGCTCACGATGAGCGCGGGTACGGTATGTATTCATCGGCCGTACCCCGTTCGGGCAAGAAGCCCCGGACTATTTATGAAGCTGCCGCCACTTTTGTTCCCAGATTGCGACAGTCTTCGGGCAGTCAATCAGGAGCCGTTTAATCGGCTCCCACGAGTTCTTGGAGTGGGCATAACCCCTCCACTTCACGAGGAGCTTTCGCTTACCGCGACGCCGTTGCTCCTGGAGGATCCGCTCCACGTGGAAGTGGACTTCTCCATTCCAGTCAAGCAGGGGCGGAGGTGCCCTCGTACGAGTATGAGTACTCGGCGCCTCCCGAGAGCCACTCTCGTCCGAGTGCTCCGACTGCGGGTCCGACACAGGACCCTGAGGTTGACCGCCTCCGTCAACGTGTCCTCGTGCTTGAGATTGCACTTGGCCTTGGGACTGGCGGTAATGCTGCCGCCCAGGCCGGGAATCAGGACGAGCTCGCTCGTCTTGCGGGCCGCCTGGACCTGTTGGAGCGAGAGGTCGCGAGCCTGCACCTGCGGGTGGATCGCCGGGCCTCTTCGTCCGATCTGGACGAGGCCTTTCGCATGATCCGACGGATCGAGGCTTTGTTGCCACGTCCGGAGCCGCCTGCGGCACACTCCCAGACGTACGCGTATGGTGCGTATGGTGCGTACCCGGCGTACTCAGCGTACTTGGCGTATGGCGCCGGGGTCCGTTCGGATGGAGCCCCTCCGGCGTATGGCGCCGGGGTCCGTTCGGATGGAGCCCCTCCGGCGTATGGCGCCGGGGTCCGTTCGGATGGAGCCCCTCCGGCGTACGGTCTTGACCGCAGCCTTGCCGTTCCGACCGAGGCTTGGGTGCCTGCTCCGACGCCCTCGTCGGCGACTGTGACCGGCCCTCGCTTCGAGGAGCTGGGTCAAGGGGGGTCTGCGAGTCAGCAACCCCCTGCGGGTCAAAGTACCGCTTAAGATGTCCGAAATAGAACGTCGGGTGCGTCGTCATTGACTTTGGAAGGTCGATGGTGTACGACGCACCATGTCTGGCCAGGACTGCAAAAGGTCCGATGAAGCGGTGCTTCAGTTTGTTGCTGCCGACAGAGCTGACAGTGTCAAGAGGTAGGTTCCTCGTGTCTAGCAACACTAAGTCCCCAACCTCAAATATACTTAATTTCCTCTTCCTTGTTTGTCTGAGTACTCCTTTTGTTTATCTTGGGCCGCTGCCATGGCATCGCGGACCCGCTGACAATGTTCAGCTTGGTATCCATAAAGGATTCCACCTGTTTCCGCAGCGAAACTGGTCTCACATCCGAGACCTGGGAGGAAAGGGCTTTCCGAGCCTCTCCCTCACTTAGAATAGAGGAGTCAGTGTCTCCTCGAAGAGTGAGAGGCACTCTGGGGTGGTGGAAGCCGTTCAAGTAGAACGACGTGAGCCCCGTGGACGCGTGCACCGCGTTGTTGAGCGCAACCTCAACAACTGGAAGCTGCGTCGACCACGTACGTGGTGCTGCCGCGCACACACTGCGCAGAGTGTCCTCGAGCACTCGATTGACGCGCTCTGTTTTGGCCGTCTGTCTGCGTATGATCCGCAGTGGACATCTGCAGACGAGTTCCCAGCAAAGGGAACAACGTTTTCCAAAACGCAGCAGTGAACCGCGGGTCTCGGTCCGAGACAATCGTCTTTGGGAGACCATGATAGCGGAACACGCCATCGACGAACAACCTTGCGGTTTATTCGCCCGTAACAGTGACGTGAGCTGGAGCAAGATGTACCATCTTGCTCAGCCGACACACGAACACCAAAATTCCGGTGTTGCCGGGTCCG